ATTGGTGGGAGGACTGTACTTTGTGCTGTGGGGAAAGGGGAAAGAGCAAAAGATAAGTGAAGGAATGAAGGAAAGTGGGCAAGAAGAACGTGAGATTCAAGTGAAGCAAATTAAGAAATTAGGAAATGATACTCCGTCTCCATCGGATAATGTTTGAAATCTTCCATTTTAATATACTAGTTTGTAACACATGTGCCACGTACATGATAGGTAGAAGTTACAAATTACAGAGTAGTAGTGTTATATTTTTATTCTAAAATATAGCTATATTAAAGAATTCTAATTCAGGCATTAAATTTTAGAACACAAAATAATTATAAAACTAGTTTTTTCAAATTATAAATTAACTTTATAACAAGTAGACTTGGTACCTGTGTTTGAGATTGTGTTGTTGAAACATCTTCATGTTCCATTTTAATACAATGCTATATAACTGGCAAACAACGCTGGGTGTTGGATATACATGATCTAACTTATCGTTTCAACCTTATCTATTTTGAGCACATTAGTTGGCAAAATAACAGGGCAGCAGATTTCCTAAAAAAAAAAATGCTGCTAATATTTTGTCTTCGTATTTATTGTTCGACTCCAACTTTATTTCCCCTTTGGTTATCTATCATTCTTGAAGATCAAATACTTACCAGATGTAGTCAATTTAGTAGTTGTTCACACGAGATTTTCGAGGAAATTATATTTCATGTAGTTGAACTTTGTTTTTGTTGTATGAGTTGTAGAGTGAATTCAATCTATAGTCTTTATCCTCTAATTCTTTCTCCCGAACTTGATGTGAAGATTGAGATACTTGTTCTTGAACTTAGATCAAAGTTCTATGCTCTTCGAATGTATTCAAGTTCTCAAAGTCACAAGTTGGTCTTCGAATCTTCAAATCTTCAGAGAGTTGTTGGATGTATGAATTCTGTCAAATCTCAAATTCTTAACCTTTGAGAATGAGAGACCCTTCTATTCATAGATGTTTCCACAAACTTAATAGATTTTGGACTTGGATTATTTTGGACAAACTAATGGATTTCGGTCATGGGCCCAATTTTAACTTCAAAAGATGTAGGCTTGGGTAATTTTGGACCCAACCCAATGGATTTGAGCTCTATTTGGTTACGAGCCTAATTTAATTTGAAAAGATTTGGACTTTGGTAATTTTGGACTCAACCGAATTTTTTGAGTGGATTTAGACTTATTTAAATATCAATCCACCATAATAGTCTTATTGTAATTTGGGTTTCGGGCCAAAATATCATCCAATAGATTTGTAAACTAAATCGATACCTTTTGTATGACCTCATTCGATCAATTAAAACCAATTCAAATGGTCCAATAAAAGACACTTGACATTATTTGGGAATTGTCATTTTTGTCTTTAATTTTAATTTAGGGATAATTTATAATTGTCCCCAAATTTAATAAAATATAGTGTTGTAGTCGTTTATGATTGATCCAAAATTTAGGGTTCTACTATAGTGTGCCCTATTATTATTTAATTGAAGTAACTTTTGTGTAAAAAAAAAAACACGCTCCCTTACAATTCATACGAAAAAAGTAGTGTGCTAGACTATTATTTCTACCCCGCTAAATCTAGAAACTTTAGAAAACTAAAATTAAGATAATAAGAATAATACACTAAGAATAGAATGTCCAGACGTTTTGTGAAAAAAAATAGAACAATATTATAAAACCTATTTGTTTAATTAGATGTCCATTTCCCAAAATTACCTTATTTTATCATTCACCAGCAAACTCAAGATACCTAATTCACCAAGCTTGACACCTATGCAAAATTCATGTAGGTATTGTCGCAACGTCATCGCGATGCAGAGCGGCCGACGTCATCCCCTGAAAGGTCTCTTTCGAGATAAGGGTTTGGAGTCGCCACCAATCATCTACGAGGTGTGATTGGTCACCTAAAAAAAATAAGGTCTGCGAAAACAGATTGTTGGTTCGGGAGTCGACTGAGCGTAGGGAAGGTGTTAGCACCCTACGACACCCGTTCGAAAACGGCATCACATTTTGTCAAAAATTATCCTATTATTTTATTTGGTCCAAGAAAAAAAATTTTTTTGTTTTGATGGAAATGTCCCATGTTATATTAATTCACACTTTGTTATAAGATATGAATTAATATGTATGAGTGACACGAAGACCATTAGAAAAATTAAGCACCTTGAGTAAATTGGAGGGTTCATCCAAGTTTTTGAAATAATTATTTAGCAAAAAAAAAATAATTTTAACTTTAAGGAACATCAAGACTTGAACTTATGACATGAGGGTTGACATTAAATCATCACACCAATGTGCCACCACTTTGAGATATAAGTTATGTTCCTTTTCAAAATACATATTTTGTATTTTTGAATTTTGTTTAAAAAAAAAGAAAAAAAAACTCTAAATGAAATCTTTTATTTAAAATAATTATTTAGTAAAAATGAGGCATGCAACGACTCAAACTTGGGTCATGTACATTAAAAAACGAACATCTCACCACTGTGCCAACATCTTAAGATGTAGACATCATATTCTTTTACACAAACAAAAGTTTTAATTTATTTTTTTAAACTAAAAAAAAAAGTACTAATTTTGTTAAATTAAAACAAAAAAATATATCTTTTTTTTTTTATTTATTTCGAAATGAACAGAATTATTTAAAAGAAAAAAAAATTATTTAAAAACAAAGTCAAATTTACTTTAACAAAACTTATTTGCTAAAAAACTGATTTTTGTTAAGATTTTTTCAAAACCATAACCACCAAACCATTAAAAGAATTTTAAATGAGATTTTATTTTAAAATACTCTGTTTTTATCTCCTCCTTTAAAATCCTGCAGCAGAAGATTCTTTTTTAATTAAAAAATAAAACAAAGGTAACACAAAAATTATAACCTTGTAAAAAAAATCATTTTAAATAAAAACTACATTTTAAATGAAAAGAATCCAAATTTAAACTTTGAATCCAAATTTAAAAGAATCCAAACTTTTTTACAAAATTTATTTTATAAAACTCCTATTTTTTTCAACGTATTTTAACCAAAATTTTAAAGTAAAATATTTTATTAAAATAAAATTAAGTTTATATTTATTTCATTTAAAAAACTCTTCTTTATTAGAAAAAGAAAAGCTTTTATTTTAAAATATCAAAATCCTTATTTTATTTTCAAAAACTTATTTAAAATTAATTAAGAAGATTTTTTCCTTACTAAAAACATTTTCTTTTAAAAAAAAAGAAAAAAAAAGCATGATTTCCAAAGCCTTTATCTTTCCAACGTATTTGATACTTACTTAAAATGCACGGAGATCGTCAGAGTGCCAGCGGGCTTGCAAGAAACTGTGAAG